GAGTGTCCCACAAGAGTGTCCTTCAAGAGTGTCCCACAAGAGTGTCCCACAAGGGTGCCCTATAAGAGTGTCCCACAAGAGTGTCCTACAAGAGTGTCCCAGAAGAGTTTCCTACAAGAGTGCCCCACAAGAGTGTCCGACAAGAGTGTCCCAGAAGAGTGTCCCACGAGAGTGTCCCATAAGAGTGTCCCACAAGAGTTTCCTACAATGACCCACAAGAGTGTCCCACAAGAGTGTCATTTGGACATATGTAGCTGGGTTCGTGGGCTCCAGCTTTTTTTTTTTCCACCTTCCTTTTCCAGATTGGATTAAAATCAAATCGGGCCTTGAGCTGAGATTTCCTCTAACATGCTTTCCCCCTTCCCAACGAAACCTTGATGACCGGTGTTCGGATCCATGTGCACACACGGGGGGCTTCTCAGGTGAAGAAGGACAAGCTCTTGGATTTCGATAACATGAGTGCAGCACCCAAGGACCAGACATGTTGAGCGGCCAGATTTAGAGAGCCAAAATAGTAGGTAGTAGGTAGAGGGTAGTAGGGTAGTAGGGAGTAGGCAGTAGGCAGTAGAGGTAGTAGAGGTATAAGCAGAGGTAGCAGAGGTAGTAGAGGTAGTAGTTCTAGTAGTCGTAGTCGTAGTCATAGTCGTAATCCTAGTAGTAGTGGTAGTAGTAGTAGTAGTAATAGTAATGGAGCAACAAACGCAGCAATCCCTGGTGGCCTTGACATTGCGCCACGAGAGCCAACTCCAGAGCCATTTCACGGGTTAGTCAGGGATGGATTAAATGGTATGGGTCTGGATTTTATAAAACAATTTTTGCAACTTGCAACAAGGTTTCGGACACAGTTGAGTTTGGCTCTTAAAGGTACGGTATCCCGATTTCCTGTTTGTCACACTCGCTTTTTCATAGCGCTCAACTTCAGGATGACCCGATGGACCTCGCCATGTTCCGAAAGACCTTGGTGGAGCCTGATACTCAGTGCGGCAAGACATTTAAAAGCTTCACGTGGTCGTGGCTGGTTCTCCAAAAGAGCATGGCATGGCAAAGATCAGACAGCGAATGGCATGGCATGGCAGCGAATGGTTTGTTCCGTAATTTGTTTGGCTTGACAGCCCCAAAAAGAACATCACGATATGAGGTATACCTTGAATCTACAAACAAAACCCCCATTGCTTCAGAAAACGCATTGAGAAGCTGTCCTTAGCTTGGCATGAAGAACACATGGCATCCGATTATCGATTTTCCTAAACATTTCAGGTTCTTTTTTCGGTGATTTCAGGCACGTTCAACGTGTGCGGCTGTAACTTCGAAGGATTTCGAGATGACAATTCCCCTCACCGCGTGGCGAAGAGCATCACTTCTCCAAAACATCGCAGCGGTGACCACATTTGGTGTAAAATGCTTTGGCATGGTGGCAGAGCTTACGACTTTTCCCTGCAACTTGTGTCGCAATCCGACACGTCAAATCCAACACGTGGCTCAGCGTCAGACTGGTTCTTCCGGCCGCCTCCGCGCCATGGCGCATTTCTCTCGCTGGGCTCCGGTGGCCGGTGGAATATTGGCCTCGCTCCCGATCAGTGATGCGCTGAAGGGGCGAAAGAGTCTGAGGCGACGGAACGAGATGAAGCACAACACATTTTGCCTTTTTCACTCGGGGAGTGTTGCGATTCTGCACCACCAAAGAAGTTTCTGCCTTTTTTTGTGAGGTATATGTCCGCATGGGAAGAGAAACAAGAGAACATGGCATCAACTGGTTGGTTGAGGAGTTTGTTCAGTCTTTCAATTGATCTTCAGGTTCTACGTGTCTTCACTGTTTCAGTGACTGAAGAGACACCACTTGCACTTCTTGAGCTGTTAGAGATGGGACAAGTCGGTCTCAAAGACGGGGGCAGGAGAAGCACCTCTCAACTGACGGTTCCCGACACCAAAAACTACACCTCTCAACACCCAAACTAACACCTCTTCCTCCCCACGTGCGAAAGCTCGCTCGCTCGCTCGCTCCAAGTCAGGGACCCCAGCCGAGCCGCCGCCACCCCGGCTGGCTTAGCCAAGCCGCCAGCTTCGCCCAGGTGCGAGGCGAAGCAGAGTCTTCCGGTGGTGGTGCTTGGGGGAGGTGTGATGGGCCTCTCAACGGCCTGGAGCTTGTGTCGCAGAGGTGTGAAGGTCAGCTCGCTCGGAGTGAGTGGAGCGAGCGAGCTGGGTCGGCGTGGAAGAAGACAGTTGGGTCGGGTCGACTGAGCAGAAAAAGACATGAGTAAGAAGTAGTAGTGCAGACTTTGTTAAACATCAAATGCCCCCTGTTTGGACTACTTAACACCTTACTGTGGAGAGTTTTTCCTGAAAGCACCTAGTAAAGAACAAATGACACCAAACTTCTTGGTTGTGGGGTTCGCAAGTCTTTGACCTTTGAGTTTTTGTTCAGGGTACCCTTTCAAGCCGAATCTAGGTTAACTCACAGGATCTCGCAGGTGCATCTTACCCGAGTATCGTGTGCAGATGCTGCACGAAGCGGCAGCCGGACGCGTCGAGACGCAGGTTTGGGCGGCAGGACGTGTCTTTGCCGCCCAAACTCGTCATGCGACATGGGATGACTCCTTCACCCAGCAGGTGGAGCTCTTGGATGCCAACCATTCTGAGAAGGGCAGCTGGGGCGAGACGCGCATCGCGCGCGTCAGCTACGCAGACCCGGTGATGCTGCGCCTGGCGCGGCGCTCCTACGAGCTTTACGAGGAGCTTAAGAAGGAGCATCGGGAGCCGCTGATGCGCCACGGAAGGAAGGCCGTTGATGGGGTGCGCTCGGTTCCCTTCTGGGTGGGGTGAGATGGAGTGGAACCACTCAGGGCGAGAACTGGAGCCACTGGCGAACTGAGCGAGGTTGAACCTGCGAGGGTCGGTCGGGCCAATTCCAGCCGGACGTACGCTGCGGGGTGCTTCGGAGCGAGTGCTCGTCTGGTCGAGAGTTTCCTCTATCGGGTCCGAAGACTCACACTGCCAGGATCCTTTCGAAGGTTTTTTTGGGGCACGAGCTCGGCAGCTCGGCAGCTCACGCCTCTGACCGATCGATCGGTTGGGTCGTTCGTTCCACCGATCGATCGACCCTTATGAGGTGCCCCACGGGCTGCCTGGACGTGGGTTTCGACCGCCGGAGCCTGGATGGCCTGGCAAAGACCTATGAAGAGCTGGGTCAAAGCTATGAACGCCTCAGCCATCGCCAGGCGAGCGATACTGAGCGGTGTGTTTGGCTGGTGAAACATGGTGAAAGAGATGAGGTGCTAGACTGGAGTGACACAGAAGTATCCTGAGTAAAACATGTGTAAAACCTAGGAGAATTGAAAGAACACTATGGTTTAGCTTGTGCTTTGCTGGGGCTATATATATATATATATGTAGGGCTAACGCCCACCCTTTTTGGGGCCAGGATGACTGTCAGATGTCGTTAGAACCATCCGCGAAAGATTCGTGATGAGGTTCGCGAAAGTATCTTTTTTTTTCCGCGAAAGATTTATCGAAGGTCATCGCTTTCATATGTCTTCCTTTCTACCGGACTGACAAAGAATAGAAATACAAGGCAATCCTCCGGCAGAGCCGGTGGGCGGAAGTCCCCCCATATGTCACAGACTAACGAACTGAAGCCTCAACATTTCCGTGCCCAGCCCTGGCAGTGCGTAAAGGATTCTCCGATTCCTGTCCCCACTGTCGCAGACAAGCAACCTGAGTAGGCACAGCCCTGACAGTGAGGCAACGACCTGCAGCTACTCTGACGGGCTGTGCAGATGTTTGCAAGTGTTACGGCAGCCGTCTTTCTTCTGGTGGCCGCTCTCCAGAGACTCACTCCCAAGGCTCTTTTCCACCATCTAATTCCACACCAAAAAGGGGCCGCGGCGAGCCAGACTGCCTGGGGCCTAACGTCGCCTTTGGAAGCCCATAACTAGAGGTGCTGGCCGAGCGTAGCCAACGGCCCATGGCCGGAAAGACTCAGGCCCAAGGCTTCCGGCTTGACATTGCAAGGGACATTTACTGGCAACGGCTTCCACCCTGCGGTGTCCCAGGCGCCGCCCCGCCTAGGCATCAGCTAGGCCGGGGTCGGCGGATATATATATATATATACATATACATATATATATATTATATATATGACCATCTGAAATACACTCCTCTATATAGATTTGGTCTGTTGGGGTCCAAGATGCTGAAAAATGCCACACCTCTCAAGGACGAGAGCTGGTCGATCCCAAAGCTGGATGCTTCGGTCGATGAGAGGGACAGTGGATTCCGAATGGTACCAAACCTATATGACTTGATCACCCCAAACTTCTCTTTGATAACAACGCTATTAGGTTGGAGGCCATCGCTATTACTTTGGAAAATGACTCATGCCTCATAAGCGCAGGTTGCAGAGCGATGGCCCATGCTCCGCCTTTCTGATGACTATGTGGAGGTGAGCATCGATGGTGGGACCTTCTGAAATTCTGGAAGCAGGAGTTAGCGCTTTCACTGTTCTAATGTTAAGTTTCCCTAAAAAATCTCGGAGCCAAATCATTAGTGCGAGCGTGAGCTATCCTGCGTCCATACTAGTAGCTACTTAAGCTACTGGCTACCTCTCCCTTACTTAATTAAGTAGGCGCCTACTTGATTAAGTAGAGAGGGGGGAGCGGGCTAAAATAGATATGGTTTTCGTATTTGCTCAGCTGCCCAGCTGCCCAGCTTGGGGGGACTAAGAATCGGAGAGAATATGGGTGACATGGATTCGACGTGGAAGGATTCAGATGGACCATGGATGGACCTTGTTCTTTTGCCAAAGACTAGTTTCATGAGGGTGCAGGGACCCCCCCTTTGAATTCACCAATGTTTTCCAGATGTGTTGCTGATGGAGGCCTCGGTTTTTTTGCCCTGCGGGAGATGCAGTCCTTGCCAGTGTGGTGTTGGAAGCATTGAAGGAGAGGGCATTTTAGGGCCCGCTTTGAAGAATGACTCTTGTGAGGACACTCGCACCGAGATATTGATGGTCTAGTAACGACCTCTCGTGACGAAGCCTTTGCACAGGTGTTTTCTCCACAGGAGTTCCATGTTTGCCTTGGGGAATGGACCCCGCAGAGAAGACGTTCAACATTCGACTCCTCAGGAGCAAGTTCAGCAACTCGGAGGTCCTGCTGCATACGTCGAGTCGCCGGTGGTCAGCATTGACCGTGCAAAGAAGACGGTCACCACAGAGGATGGGAAGACGATCGCTTACTCGAAGTTGGTCCTCGCAGCTGCTGGGCTCCAGAAAATCAGGGAAAATGAATATTCTTGAGGCTTTTGCTCCAGCTTCATTCGATTCTTGAGGCGTCCAGTGATTGAACCTCTTTGAGCACGGCCGATACAGTATCAAATATAAATAGATATGTATATAATATATATATATAGGTCCCCAAATTGATAGAAAAGTAGATCCCCACAACAAAGTTATTGGAACCTGTTTCTATCTATTTGGGGATCAAGAAGCTACTAGGTGAAGGCCATGGCTACTAGGTGGAGGTCATCGCTACTGTATTAGGTTGGAGGGCATTGTTTAGGTTGGAGGCCATCGCAATTAGGTTGGAGGCCATCGCAACTAGGTTGGAGGCCATCCCTATTAGGTTCGAGGCCATCGCAATTAGGTTGGAAGCCATCGCTATTAGGTTCGAGGCCATCGCTATTAGGTGGGAGGCCATCGCTATTAAGTTGGAGGCCATCGCTATTAGGTGGGAGGCCATTGCTATTAGGTTGGAGGCCATCGCTATTTGGTTGGAGGCCATTGCTATTAGTTTGGAGGCCATTGTTATTAGGTTGGAGGCCATCGCTATTAGGTTGGAGGCCATTGCTATTAGGTTGGAGGCCATCGCTATTAGGTTGGAGGCCATCGCTATTATATAAGTTGGAGGCCATCGCTGTTAGGTTGGAGGCCATTGCTATTAGGTTGGGGGCCAGCGCAATTAGGTTGGAGGCTATCGCTATTAGGTGGGTGGCCATCGCTATTAGGT